TTTTCTTTTATTTTATGTGTATGAGTGTATTGCCTGAATGTAGGTAAGCACACCCGTGTCATGCAATGCCCACGGAGGTCAGAAGAGGCCACTGGATCCCATGAAACTGGAGTTATGGATGGTTATTAGCCGCCCTGTGGGTGCTGGGTATTGAGCCTGGGTCTCTGAGAGCAGTGAGTGCTCTTAACCGCTGAGCCATCTCTCCAGCCCAGTGTTATGGACCTTTATTTCTTGTCCTGAAGTGATACATTCTTATTGTAAGAAATCTGGAACCTATGGAAAGATGTGGGCGATAAAAGGTCTGGGGCTAAAAGTCCAGCATGGTGGCACACACCTCTAGTCCTAGCACTTGGAGGCAGAGGTAGGGGGACTACTTTGGAAGTACTGAGTAGCTGAGGGTACATAGTGAGACCCTGTCTCCAAAACTACGTATGAGGGCTGGGGGCATGGATCAGTGAGTGGGCAAAGGGCTTGTTATAGAAGTGTAAGAACCAGAGCTCAGATTCCCGGCACCAGTGTAGAAGCTAGTAGGTGTGGCAGTCCACCTGTTAACCAGGGCTCAGAAAGCAGACAGGGGATCTTTGGGCCACCCCAGCTAGCTAGACTCACTGAATTAGTGAGCTCTGGGTTCAGGGAGAGACGCTTCCTTAGAAAACAGAAAAACTGAAGAAGATACCTGGGTCACCCTCTAGTTTTCACACACACGTGCACCTGCACACAAGTGTGAGTTACACACATGCAAACACGCATACACACGTATACCACACACACACAAGCAAAGTGTACAATACACACAGTGATATATGTTCCAGTGCTGGTGGGAAGAAACGGCTCTGGGGGCCACAAGGACCACAAAGGCCACACTTGCCACTGTGAGGACAGCAGTCAACTGACATTTGGAGCCATGTTTCCCTTATCTTCATGATGGGCTAAAATTATCCGCAAGGCTTAAATAAGATAAGGCATGCCGTCCTTCCTTCCAGCTTGTTTTCCGAGTTGTATTCAATGCCCGTGAAATAAACATCAGCTCCCTATGCAGCAGGTCCCAACAGCACAACTGGCCCAGTAGCATGTCATTCTCAAAATCTCACCACAGGGCCTTTCCACCTGCTGGCCCCTCATCCTAAACAGTCACCGTTCCTGTCTTCACTGCAGTTAGAGACCCAGCTGGTCTCTCTCTGGCCTGTCCTATGGAGGTTGCCGCAATCCAAGACTCCCGTCCAGCAGAATCCAGGAAGAACGACACAGACACCAAGGCAGGGTTCAAGCTTCTTCCTCTTTACTACGCACTTCAGCTCTTTATATAGCATTCTCCACAGCCCTCCCTCCAGCCAGGACCAATCAGGGCGCTCACACACGCAGCAGGCAGGCAGAGTGGCAGCCCATTGGGCCACGCAGCAGGGTCATGCCAGAAGAGTCTCTAATCAGGCAGGCAGCACATGATCAAGCTCATCCGCTTGCACGAGTTAAAGTAAACAAGCAGGGATCACGAGACTTGGCAACCAGCCAAAGCGCCTTAGGCAGGAAGCTTGGAGTCATGAGGCTTGGCAGCCAGCCAAGGCGCCATTTTGCTAGCTTCCCACAGGAGGTGCCCGAGTTATGCGGATCATGTATAATTACAGTCGGATGACACGTAACTGACACTTCATTCAATGACAGTCGTAAACACTCTCTCTCTGGCCTGCCCTCTGGAGGAGCCCGAGTTATGCGGATCGTGTATAATTACAGTCGGATGACACGTATCTGACACTTCAGTCAATGACAGTCGTAAACACGACAGTAATCCCACAGACTATAACCCAGCTGCACCAGGCAAAGGAGCTCTGAGGGCCTCAGCACAGGTCAGGTTCAGCCACAGAAAGGCACTAGGGAGCCACGGAAGACCTTCGAGCAAGGCTGCTGTGACCAGGGACTCGAAGCCCAGCAGGGAGTGCTGGTGAGGGCTGCTGGCATCCCAGAACGAGCTGTTGGGCAGAGACCTGAACTGTCCTAGGCCACCTGTGCCAGCTGCCCAGGGAGTGGGGGACCAACCAACCAGCAGCCCCAGCCAGGCCCAGCTCTTCCAGGAGGTCCCTGCAGGGAGTGGACTGTGGTCCTCCTGAGCAGGGGTCTAGGTGGCACTTGCTTAGATCCCCATCCATCCCGACAGGAGCCTGCTCAGGGACAGTCCTCACCAACTCTGCTGTGTGCTGCCTCCTCCTGCCCCGGGAGGGGGATCAGGAATGTGGAGGCCCCTCCAGGAAAAGGACAAGGCTCTCCTGGGAAGGAGGAGTCTGCACACATGTCTTCCCACATTCCTCAGCTGGGACAGCTCCTCAGAGCCCAGAGTGGCTGCTCACCTTTCCCTCCTGTTCCTAAGAGCAGGCTCTGTCCACAGGGGATGCTGTCCACAGAGGGGTGTGTCAGGGTTTTATTGACAAGAATGGCCTTGTGAGGCCCAAGTGGATGTAGATGCTGATGGGACCAGGGCCTTTAGGCACCCAGCAGGGACACTGATCCCTACTCCCTTCCAGAGCCATGAACTAGTCCCAGCATGGGCTCGTCCTATCCACACAGACACAAAGCACACACCTGCACTCATCCAAATCATCACACAAGAACACAGGAGAACAGAGACAGACACACACACACATAGAGACACTCAGTCACATGCACACAAAGATGCACAAACACACACAAAAAATGTGTACATGGACACAGGCACTCAATCACACATAGATATACATTGACAGATATGAAAAACACACACATTCATCCTTATGAGATGGCACATACCTATAATCCCAGCACTGTGGGCAGTGGAGGCAAGAAAATCATGCATTCGAGGCTATTTCCAGCTACACAGTGCTTTGGAGGCCTGACCCACATGAGATCTTGTCTCAAAAGAAAACAAAACAAAACAAAAAACAACCCCCCCCCAGCACAAAAAAAAACCCAGGACTGGAGAGATGGCTCAGTGGTTAAGAGGACTGAATGTTCTTGCAAGTACCCAGGTTTAGTTCCTTGCACCCACATGGCAGCTGACAGTGATCATCTGTAATGCCAGATTCCCTCCTGAGAGACCTGCATGTGCTCTCTGGGCTCCCAGGCCAAGGCTGTCTTTATGCTAGATGGACAAAACTGTCCCAATGAATTCTATTCGAGTTTTTGTATAATTTCTGATGTCCAGAAGAGAGTTACTTACAAAGGCCTACAGCTGTGGGCTTTTCCCCGACATCTCGGCTGAGCCTGTTCACGTCCACGTTCACCTGAACACCCACAGAAATGGCGACTCCCCACCACTTCCTGGCTTCCTCAGTGTCTCTCCTTAGACCCTCCCCCTCATGCACTTAAACCTGACTAACTGGGTGGGAGGGGTGTCTCTTAGGGTTCAGTGCTAGTTCTCTCAGAGGACACAACCAACACCATAACTCCAGTTCCAGGAGATTTGATGCCTCTTCTGGCCTCTGTAGGCATTGCACACATGGGTGCACTTACGTACATGCAGGTAAAACCCTCATATACATAAAATAGATCGATAAAATTTTAAAAACCAACCAACCCACAAACAAATGAACAACCAAGCAAACAAACACAGACACCTTCATTAGCATTCAGATGCCTGTGGCATCATCCTGCACTGTCCAGCTTGCGGGGTCATCTGAGGGAGGAGATCCCCTGGAAGACTGTGGGCCGTGAGGGATGTCGGCAGGCAAAGGGTTGCCACAGACCCTAGGACCGCTGGAGTGTGTCTCAAATGTAGGGTTATCCCAGCCACCCAATTAACTGCCCTGTGCTGCATCATGGACTGTTTCAAGGATAAGTTTTGGAGGCTGTGGGACACCTTCAACTCTGAGCACACAAAGCAGGCCCAGTTCTAGGCTGCAAGGCTGCAGGGCCTTAGCCACTTCTTGTATGAAAACAAACAGCAGATCCATGACCCACTGGCCCAGGACTGGGGCGAGTTGATGTGGGGCTGTGGGGTGTGGCATCTAGACAGGGGTTACAGTGTCCTTCCCAAACATGACCACATCCTCTGTGGGATCTTGTCCCCGTGAGGGGGGTTGTA